GCTCAGAACTGTCCCTTCGCCGTAATGCTCTACCTTTGCATGTTCATGCCGAGGAATTTACATGGGAAGGAGAGGTACCATACCTGTGCGCGACAAGATGTGTCAAGTTGTACGAACAGTAGGAGAGGCATTATTCGCTCAAGCTAATTTTCTTCTTTATTAAAAAAAGTCACCTAGCACAAGAGGAAAGCAAACCAGCCAAGGGATCTACGGTACATTGCATGTATAAACAAGGACAATTCTGATGTTTAGGGATAGTTAAAAAAATATTAACTTTCAAGTTCCCCTCGGTAATCATCTTCACCTTCTATAATCGCTTCTGATTTCGGGACGCGGAGGCGGACTCGTCATACAGTGCTTCCAACGTTCCCGATCCTGTGCCAGAGTCGGAGCTTCGGCAGAAGACAACTGAATCTAGAACAGAGTTTTGTACCAGGTTAATCATGGCCGTCCCGTGGGTCCCGTGGGTCTTCTGCCGGTCGGATTTGCAAGGAACAGTTGCTTAGCCTTCCTTTCTGGACGCATTCGCAACACGTGCCCAAGCCATCGCTGCTGTGACTTTTCAATCTGGAGAAGCAACGATTGTACACCAAAGCTCTCGCGGATTCTGTATTCCGGATGCCAGAAATCATAACATGTAAATTTTTGATACAGGATTTGTTAGTCATGTAAGCACCGCGTTCTTGTTGCTAGTTCCTTACAATAACCATTTAAACACGCCACGCTCAATGGCATTTGAACCCTAGCAATGAACTGAATGCAGAACCGCATCCCTGAGCTGAATTGAACAGAGGTGTGTTCGAACAACTAACGTATCTGCCTTTCCTTTAACCAGTATAACACTGTTTGTTCTTCCGCTATCTGTTTCAAGCAATAAAACGAACTACCGACCGTCCGAGTAGACCACACAGGTTAACCAGGCAAATGTTCACACAATTCAGTTTTGGTAGCCATCCTGCGTCCGGCATAGCCCGGTGGATCTCTTCTATTCCACCATGATAGACATTTATGACTTATTCAACTGTTTGCCCCTCACCACATTCAAGGAGTAGCAATCCTTTCATTCGGTCTAGAATTATCATAATTTAATCGGTTTACTGTAGTCAGCCATAGCAGAAGTCAGTGAACAAGTTACCTTCTTGGTGCGATTTTCAGCGAGGTTTTTGTTCCGAGTTGAACTTGTGCTCCAAACATCTAGCCTTTGGGTCCTGCTGTGGGAAGAGGCAACGATCACGATAACGGATGGCGACCAGCTCAAAATACGCTGAATATCCTCAACCGTATAGAAACGTTATGTACCCTGAAACAACTGGCTTAAAACGAAATTGTATTCAGTAGTGGGCACACCTCCCTACTGATTTAAGGCAAATCTGTTACCACGAAGGACATGCTAACTAGAAACCCGTGGGATTGGGACACCGTTCATTTGAGCTGATAAGGGTATTACTTTATCCACAAAAATCCGCCTTTGCCTTTCCTCTGTCAGGTCAGTGCTACGGTAGGGCACGGAGACAGTTGCTTTAACGAACGTGCAAGATCGACTGTCAAACTGCGCACAGCAACGTTCACTTCCATATGTTTATTAAAATCACTTCCGTGATATGTTTGCATAAACAGAAAGTTTCTTGTTTGTGATGCCTGCTTTCGAACACCTTTGTTGTAAAGTTGTAAAGCACAGGTCAGCAGATCGCAGAAGGAAATATTCCTCTGCGAAAGCAGATCGACCTAGACCTCGTTCTCCATGTTGCCGCAAGCCTTCTTGTCGACATCTGCCCATATGAGAAGCCCACAGGCCTGGGCAAATGGTGTATGTTCAACCAGTCTGTCAAACAGGGCCAACAATCCATTACTTAATCTTCACATCTACCGAGAGCACCTGTGCCCGGAGGAGAATAGAGTCATTCCCTACATGCTCTTGTCATTTAACCCTGACTTTGTA